ATGATAAATTGTCAGCACCACTTGGACAGGCCACCGAAGTCAAATTTCAGCCAGCTCCTCATTACAAGCTATCTTACCTCAGTGCTTCTCCATCAGGGACAATTTGGCAATGTCTGGAGTCCTGTCCCCGCACCCCTCCTTTAATACAAGTCATCCCCAACTTAATGTATTTGAGTTACAATGACCCACTCTTAAAACTGTCTGGGGGATTTTTGCGTTTTACAGCTTATTAATATTTTCAACATATAATATTGCATGCATAATTGGCTGATGTGACTATTCTTAGATGTTCACTTGCACACGGTCAGTGTAGGGACTTAGGTCAAAATGGGCTTAGTATGGAATCCATTGGAAAGGAGCCCCAGTGTAAGTTGAGCACTACCTGCGATTGATCTTGTTGAGAATAGACACAGAAGAACCTAAGCCAGGCAGTTCAACAGTCTGCGTGTACAAGTCACGGACATGGATTACAGTCTTCACTTTGTACAACCACCCCTCCTAATTGTACCTCCCCAGATATCATAAACTCACTGCCCTCTAAGCTTCTTATCTAATCTTTCAAGTTGCTATTTGTCAATTTGTCCCATATAGATAGCTCTTAAAAGAGCATCTCATTAAGCTAAACTGCTGTTTGGTTTTAAGATGGCTTCAGGGGATTGTTGGTTTAAGGTTTAGAAATTATCTCATTCCAGGTGCCTCCATGGCTCCAGAAAGGCTTAGGTCAATGAGAATTTGAAATTCTATTTTGCATTCTCCTCTCCTCTCCCCTTTTGATGAGGATTCTGCTGTGGATTCTTGGATCAAAGTGTTTAGTGATGGTAGCTGAGCACCATCCAAATCTCCTGGCCTCGGAGCAGAGCAGGCAGTTGTTCTTGGAGGCAATGAGCCACACCATCCATAGTCTCCTCTTCCTGGTTCACCTTGCTCTGGTGCTCCAGGGAAATAAGTGGGTTACCAGTTAGTGTTTGGTCTTGAATGACCCCTTGTAAGCTTTTAAGGCCTGAGGCACTGCCCAAAGAACTTGGAGGTAGGCCAGAAGCACTATCAGGCCTACTATCAGGCCAGTAAACCGGGTTGCCCCATAAAATAATGACATCACATAATGCACACCCACCCTAACCCTCCTAACCAAACGGCCAAATCCCAGGAGGTGTTGGGGTGGACGTAAGCAGCTCAGCCTCTATGTTCTATTCAGCTTTCTTTGGTTTTTAGTGGTCAGCACATCTGTCATACAACTTTGCCAGTTCGACTTGGAGACATTTTGATTGTCCTGAGTGGGGTGTGCATCTGGTAGTTGAGGCCAGGGATGCTGCTTCTGTGCACAGGACATCCCCCACAGCAGTGAATTCTCCTGCCTCAAATAGCCCCAGACCGAAGAGGAAACACTCAGGGGTCAGCACTCAGTGGTCATGGGAAATACGGGCAGCCCTCAGATTGTCGATGAGTTCCATTCCTGTGCCTGTCTGTCTGTCCCAAGTTGAAACTGGGCATAAGTAGGAACAGTTAAATACTGTTTTATCTCATGTCTATCAAGTGTTTGTTTTCATATACTAGGCTAAGTCAGAATGTATTGGTGCAGGTTCCAGTTCATACACCACAGGTCTTTAGAGACAAAACGGGTCTAAACATGTCTCTGAGCATTCGGTGGCTGCAGACAAGCTTGCTCACCTGTCTTAGTCTCGTTAGGCTGCCTTCCCCAAAAGGAGGCCACTCAAAATAGTGGCTTCTAAGAGATCTTGTGGGCCATTTCAGTTCTAGATCAGAAGGATGCAATGATTGTTTGGGGGGTTCCCAAAGGGTCATATAATAGATATTTCCCAAGAACACAGGACAATCAAGACAGCTTATTAGGAAGAAAATTGGTTAGAGCAGCAGTTCTCAACCTGTGGGTTGCAACCCCTTTGGAGGCCAAATGACCCTTTCACAAGGGGTCACTCAATTCATAACAGTAGCAAAATTACAGTTACGAAGTAGTAACGAAAATAATGTTATGGTTAAGGGATCAGTACAACATGAGGAACTGTATGAAAGGGTTGTGACCTTAGGAAGGTGGAGACCTGCTGCATTAGAGAAAGGCCACAAAAGCTGCATAGAATGTTTTTCCACCATGACACTTTGCTCATTCTTAGAGGGTAGCATGAGCTGTTCCAGAAAGTTTCCAGAAAGCTTCATTGGGAAACCTCACACCATCCACCTTCCAGTCCTAATCTTGCCCCTTCATGATTTGAGTCCCTCTAGGTTGTCCAAGAGGAGCCCTGCTGGGCTAGGGGTCAGCAGTTCAAAACCACCAGCTGCTCCATAGGAGAAAGACGAGGTGTTCTACTCCCGTAAAGAGTTACAGTGGTGGAAACCCACAGGGACAGTGCTGCTCTGTCCTATGAGCCAGCACGGATCAGAATGGTCTCGACACTGGTGCAAACTAAGGAACCCAGAATTCTTTGGGGAAGGTTGTTAGGTACTGTTGAGTCATTGTGTCAATCCATCTTGTTGATGGTCCAGGAAACATTAAAAAGATACTTCCTTAGGCCCTAAAACATAGTAGCAATAATCATGTTTTTATGCATGTTACAAAGTAATGCCCGTTTGTCATTACAAATCATTGTGTGTACAATTTTAATAGGCGTAGCACTCCAGTGATACAGTAGATTAGCATGATCATTGATATGTGTTTTAGGAAGGTTAGTTTGGAATGACAGGTTGTATGTAAACTGGGGGCAGCCTGCATACTTGTTTTCACCACAGGAAGTGCCTGGCAGCCAGAGCCCAGGACCTGGTCACAACTGTGTTTAACTCACGCCCATCACTGCAGTCCTCTGGAGCCCTCGCTTGACCGATGGGCTCTGACCAGGGTCAGCCACTAGGACACGTTAGTGTGGTTCCTGTCTCTCTAAATAGGCTATGGGAGAGCATGTCAGCTCTTAGTGCCCCAAAGCAGCGTTCATAGCCCGTGTGGGCCCCGCCATGATGAAGTGGCATTAGCTGGCAGGATTGCCTTCGAATCGTCCTGAATGTGGTTTAATGGGAACATTGAGCAGCTGCTTGAGTTCAGTGTATTGTTTGTGAAGACTCCCTGCACAGATGCTTTGTATTTAAACGAGGTGTACTTGTTTCTGCTGACAATGAAAAGTCCTTCCTCTCTCTTCAGTACAAGACATGGAGCAGTTTTATGAACTTTGGCTCAAGAGTCAAAAAATGGGAAAAAGTGATGACGCTGCCAGCCAGCCCAACAAGGAGAATGGAAAACAAATTCACATGCCAACAGATTATGCAGATGTGACTGTAAGTAGGGTGGCTGCCAGGCGGCAGTGGGTGGAGCCCCCTTTCCCAATCCCGCCCAGAGCCTGGCTCCCTGCCCACTCCTGCCCTCTTCATCCGCTTCCTGCCACTCGTTGAGTCGTCATTCCAGAGCCCTTCCTTGACCCCTGCCCTGATGCCCTTACTGCTAGAACCCAAGAGCACAGTGGGTTAGCTTTCAAGAACAGAACGCCTTGCCCCACAGTCCTGGAGACCAGAAGTCCAAACCAGGGTACTTCCTGTCTGAGTGATTGTTTGGTTCCTTGGCGTGTAGACAGCCTTTCTTGTGTGCTCTGGGAGTGTGTGTGTGTCTCTAAGTCTGATCTGCTCTTAAAATCACTCAGAAGTGAACACCCTATTGGGGCTGTCACTGATCTCACACAACTAAGAAAATCCTCTTTTCAAACAGAGTCTCATTCATGGACACAAGGCTTAAGATGCTGAGACCCACTTTAGGGACATCTATTTCCACCCCTAGTAATCCTGTTTCTGACAGGATTTTGCAGCCAGAGCATTGCAAATCCAAGTTCCGATTCCGCTTTTGACTAGGCTGTGACCTGGGCCGATTGTCAGATGTCCCTGGCGGGACTGCTGAGACAGGGAAGCATGAGGCATGTACAGCACAGACCCAGTGCCCGAGGGGCGGGCCACACTGTCAGGGAGCTCTGGCCATCCCTCCCACCACCTCTGTTTTCCCGCCCCCCGGCTCCACCCCCACCATCTGTGGCGATATTCAGTTACCTATGGTTTCTTAGGGTTTCACTTTTCTCCTAAAACTTCAAACTGTCAACAGGGTAATGTAACGAATTTCTGGAGCCCACTACACCAGGCTGGGTTTGCTTCTGGAAAAGTAACAACATTACAGATCACATTGAAGTCCCAGATGTTCCCCTTCCCAGAAGAAATCAGATCCCTAGTGTGTTTTTCCAGGCCCTGTTTATAATTTGTTCTTGAACAGTCTATAGTTTGTCATGCGTGGTAAAGTTTCTGTAAGTGTAGGCTTTGTCCACTTCGTGTCCCTTGTTTTCTTGAATCGTGCGGATCCAAGCCCATCACCCACCATCTTGCTCTGTGCCCCTCGGTATTGCCCAGCCTCTCACCACTGCCCTGGTTGTCCTCCCAGGCTGCCTCCCTGTGTCCTGAGTGCCAGCCCAGGAGATATCCTGGGCATTTACTCAGAGACCCCAGGCTGCACCAAGAATGTGCCCCGTGCCGAGCCACGCTCTCGGGAGCGAGGTCTCCAGGAAGCTTCCTGTTGTCCAATATTGCCCCTGACTCTTACTCATGTTCGGAAGGCCTGTGTCTGTTGTGGCTCTTGGCTCCCACCATCTCGGGATTTCTCCCATGCAGGCGTGGCCCCCAGGGGTAGCGTCTCACCAGCTTCTTTACCTCCTGGTGCTGGGCACAGGTCCAGTGTGTGAGGTGAATGGAGGTGTGGCCGCTTGTCCCTGTGGAGCCGCATACCTGGCCTCTCCCATCCTCCTGACAAACATCCTTGTTTGCACACCGGCTCCGGTCTATTGTCTCCTTGCTGGAACCTTCTGGACACCTGGCAGAGTTCCTTTTCCCTCCCCCAGCCCCCGGGTCCTAGTCTGCAAGCCTCCCAGGCTGCTGTCCTTGCCTCACCTGGGCCTGCTCGCTGGACTCTCTGAGGAGAGTCTGGAGGTGGTGTGGGTGGCTTGGTGTGCCCAGGGGCACCTGCTGAAGGGCCTGTGTCTCGTGTGCCCAGGTGGACTTCCACTGCTGGATGTGCAGGAAGAACTGTAACAGCGAGAAGCAGTGGCAGGGCCACATCTCCTCCGAAAAGCACAAGGAGAAGGTTTTCCACACAGAAGACGACCAGTACTGCTGGCAGCACCGCTTCCCCACCGGCTGTTTCAGCATCTGCGATAGGTATGTAGGCGCCTCGGCCCTCGCAGACCAGACATTCGCCAAGCTCCCCCAGTTGTGCCAGTGGTTCACAGGCTGGGTTGCTAACCCAAAGCTTAGCAGTTTGAGTCTAACCAGAGGGGCCTTGGAAGAAAGGCAAGCTTAGTGACCTGCTTCCCAAAAGTCGGTCCTGAAAAGCCGTGAGTCAAACCAACTGCACAATTACCCTCTGAGCTTCGGACAGGCTGTACGTAGTCACTTTACATATCACATAGCCGGTGGTGTGATAAGAGCATTTTGCTTGAGGCCAACATTGTTTTATTCACTGGATGACATGGAATAGTTTCAGTTCAAGATGTAGAGATTGTTTCTGGATGTGGATTCCTTCAGAGGATCTGGCGAGTCTGGTTTCCAGGGGAGGTTGACGTTCTGTTCCACACTCTTTCTTTTCGCTCAGGATCTGGCTCTTGGGTCCTTGATCAAAGGGCGCCACCTTTCTCCTCTCGTCTCCTAGTAGGAGAGGCGGTAAGTTGTCTGTGCAGACGCTTAAACCACAGGCCGTTTCCTTCCCCGGTTTCTGGGTCTCCTGCTGCTGCAGGCGAATAGAGACCAGGGTCTCTTGGTGGCTGCTCCCGAGCTTTAAGCATGAGGCACTACTCATTGAACTGGGCGTGGAGCAGAGGCTGGAACCAAGGTTAGGCTGGTCGGCTGGGTAGACCCATGAAGCCTTGACCCTGGGCCTTCCCACAGAGAGAACCACCCGATTGTGGTTTCTCCCCATTATGTTGGGAGGGTAGCATTTTTTGGTTTTTGATTTTTTCCCCCATCAACCAATACTTTTTGTTTTTCAATAACTTTTTTTTCCCCAGTAAATTGGGTAGAGCTATACATTTCAGATCATCACCTTTATATCCAGACATTTAAAGTAATAAACACACACACACACACACACACACACACACACACACACACGGTCAATCAGGATTTTTCATTTTTGGTAGTTAAGGTGAAAATCACTTAAAGTCTTGGTTTATCTGTTTTGTGTAGTAAGGCTCTAAAACACATACTTTTCTAGGCTTAAGATGCTTAGTTAAATCCTTTATGCAAATCAAAAGCCTGGTGAAGACCGAAGCCAAAAGAAATAGATGGTGCTCGGCTGCCACTAAGCAGTGAAAGACATCCTGATAGGAGGGGAGGAAAACTCAACAGACCGCAAATTCCTTAAAAGTCTTGACCTACTGACCAGTTGAGACTGTAAGACTCCTGGAGACCATCACCTGACATACTCCTTAAACCTTGAACCCAAACTGCCCCCAAAGTCAGTTTTTAGCAAAACAACATATTGGTTTGTGAAATAATTGTACCAGCTAGGAGTGTGTTCCTTTTAAAATCTGCAGTCTGAGACCACGTGGTCAATGACTGCTCGTGGTAAAGATGGAAGGCATTGGCGTAAGGGGACCAGGAGAGGAAGTGAAGCCTGCAGAACGCTGATGTGAAAATGTAGCCATTGTCTCCAGTCAGTCATGGAGTGATGGTTACACGGGAGCTCAATTTGCTGTGCAGACTTTCACTGAGAAGAGAAACCAAACTGTGGAGGTAGGGATTCTGGAATCCTCATGTGAGCCCGAAGGAGCCGGGGTAGTATAGTGGTTCTGTGTTGGGATGCTAACTTGAGGGTCAGCAGTTCGAAACCACCACCCGCTCTGCAGGGGAAACCCAGGACTTACAACTCCCATAAAGAGTTAGTCTCAGAACTCAGAGGGGCAGTTCTACCCTAGCCTATGGGGTCTCTATGAGGCAGCATTGCCTCTATGCCATTGACTTTTGATTTTTTGCGTGTGAGCTCTGAGCAGGCCAACTTTGCCCTCACAGGTATATGAGCGGGGCATGTGTAGAAGGCGCCAGCTGTAAGTTTGCACACGGCAACGCGGAGCTCCAGGAATGGGAGGAAAGGAGAGATGCCCTAAAGATGAAGCTCAACAAAGCAAGAAAAGATCACTTAATTGCCCCAAATGATAATGACTTTGGAAAATATAGTTTTTTGTTTAATGATTTAAATTAAAAGAGGCTGGCTTTTACATATGTCACCGAATCAGAGCATTGACCAGAAACATTGAAGCGCCCCGAGGCCCGGAGCCACGGAGCCGCAGGCTTTCTGCTTGCATCGGCGTCCCTCGTCCCTCCTGCGCAACGACGGAAGACAGGCTGCTTACCAGGCCTGGCCCACGCCCTCGTGCAACCACGGCCTCCAGTGGCAAAGGGCCTGCGGCCTGGTGGCCTTCTGTTGGACAGACTTTGGATGAAGTATGCTGAGGAAGAGGCTGAGGTTATGTGGAGAACGACTCCCGTAGTTGGTCCTTCACATCAGAACCATGGTAAGCGAGCAAACGTTTTGTCCTGGGATCAGAATAATGCAGACACACAGGTGAAATTCTGTACACGTTTTAGCGAAACGAATCTGTTTCATATTCTAGTTTGCTACTTATCTGTACGTAGGTTGCTAAAAAGGATTTTTCTTAACGCAGATTTTAAGCCAAATCACCATTTAACACTAGTATATGCTAAATGGGGTATTTTTCTGTGTTTGTATGTTTCACCAGAATAAGGGAACTGAGGATACTGCACATTGAAAATAATTTTGGAGCGAGAGGAAGAAAAATCAGTTGACTCAATTCTTTTTCCTTGGTCTTTTGCTGTTTAAATAATAATTGTGAAAGATTAAACTTGGTATTGTGTAGTGTATGGACCAATATTGCCTGTAATAAAGATTTTATCTGTAGATGTCGCGTTATTTTTGGTGTGTTCCTTTCCTCACAGAGTTGTTGAAGCCGAGTACTGAAACCCCTGTGTTAGGTGCCCTCGAGTTTGTTCCGAGCCTTAGCCGCCCTGCACACACCAGAGTGAAACCCCGCCTGGCCCTGCGCCCTCCTCACAATGGCTTCTGTGCTGGAGCTCACTGTTGGAGCCCCTGTGTGTGTGCGTTTGCCGAAGGGCTTCCTCTCCAACCTGAAGGGATAGGAAAGAAACCCCGCCCCGCCCCCCTGAGCCGACCAGCCTCTTCTCTTGGGACAGACGTGGAGCCTCCTGGGGGTCTTCTGGGTTTCCCTCAAACACTGTTGCTGGCTGCAGCCCATTTGGCCCTGCGCTCACAGCACAGCAGAACAAACTACCTGGCCCTGCGCTAGCCCTGGGATGGGTGGAAGGTGGGACCCTGTGATCATGGGATGGAAACAGATCCTGCTGCGTTTCCTCTGGATGCCCTAGTGCAGTGGTTCTCAACCTTCCTAATGCTGCGGCCCTTTCATACAGTTCCTCCTGCTGTGGTGATCCCCCCAACCATGAAATCATGTTTGTTGCTACTTCATCACTAATTTTGCTGCTGCTGTGAATTAGGCGACCCCTGTGAAAGGGTTGTTTGATCCCCCCCTCCCCAAAAGGGGTCGTGACCCACAGGTGGAGAACCGCTGCCCTAGTGGGTTAAGGTTGGGCGGCAGACTGCAAAATCAGCAGTTCAAACTCACCAGCTTCCCCAAGAGAGGAAGGTGAGGCTTTCTGCTCTCGTAAAGGGTGACAGCCTTGGAGACCCACGGGCCGTTCTGCCCTGTCCGACAGGGTCTCTGAGTTAGCAGCAGCCGTGGGCTTGGGTTTAGAACCCCCTGCATTTCTGTGCTTCTACTTGCCATCGGCAAATCTATGGCCTGGAGCAATCTTTCAATGGGTGCAATTTCTTCCTCTGTCACTGTTTCTCATTCTGGTTCACAGCTAAGTACCCCATCGGCCTCTGGCAACCACTTTCCTGGTCCAGGGGAAACCCCACAACCTGCTGCCTTCAAATGGGTCCCAGTTCCTGACCGCCTGTGTGGGGTTTCTGAGGCTGTCAATCTTTATGGGAGCAGACAGCCTCATCTTTCTCCCAAGGAGAGACTGGTGAGCTCAGACCCCTGACTTTGTAGTTTGCAACCTAACACTGAGTCCACTGCGCCACCGGGGTGCCTTGCTTCGTCCTAGCATCAGGGAAGCCCCTACAGGATAGTGGAACTGCCCCACAGGCCTTCCAACACTCTTGTCTTTATGGAAGCAGCCTGACACGTTCTTCTTCCCCTGGGGTGACTGATGGCTTCAAGCCTCTGGCCTCTTGAGTTACCTGAGCCCTGAACCACTGTCCCACCAAGGCTCCTGCAGTATTGGGAAATCCAGGCTAATAATTTTGTAGTGCGATTACTCCCCAACCGAGGAGTTGATTGGTTCCTGGTCACACTAGAGGAGATGGGGGGAGGAAGGGAATGTAGAGAGGAAAAAGTACACAATGTCCCAAAACAAGATGTGTATGAAAATAATTATCGAGTGGAAAACCTGCTTTCCTTCAAAACACACTGAAAAACTAACATACTTCTTTTGGATAAAAGCTTACACAATAAATGAGGATCCCATTTGACAATAGCTACACAAATGGTTCCACTCCCCTGGTTTCAGTAGCAGTGGCAGTAATAATTGGTGTATCTACTTTGACATGTTTATCCCTGTGAACATTTTATGTTGACATAATAAAAATTATTACTGAAATACAATGGATAACTGTCTCCAGCATTTTAAATCATACCATTCAGTGGCATTTGTACAAGCATCACTATGTAATTCCAGAGCATGTCCTTCACTCCTGCCAGAAAGCCTGCACCCAGTTCTCTCAAACCGTTTCAGACCTTAGTGGGACTCTGCTCTGCTCTACCCAGAAAGCCTCATGATAGGAGGGTTCTCTTCAGAGCCTCTTGTTGCAAAAAAAAAGCCTCAAACCTGTTAAACAGTCACCCCCAATTCTGTTTCCTCTTCCTTCAGCGTCCCCCCACCCCACCCCTCTAAAAGAACAATACTCAACTGTCCTGTCATCTATGTAATGACCACCCTCTAGGCTTCAAAAGCAGCCCTGGTCGTATAGTGGTTATGAGTTGGGCTGTGAACCTCAAGGTCAGCAGTTTGAAACCACCAGCCTCTGCACAAGAAAGATGAGGCTTTCTACTCCCATAAAGAGCTACAGTCTTAGACACCTACAGGGACAATTCTGCCCCGTCCGATAGGGTTGCTGTGAGTCACAATCAACTCAATGGCAGTGACTTTGCACTTGGATCGGGTTTCGAGCCTGTTACGTTTTTACTGGGGCAGACAGCCTTACCATTCTGGAGAGCGGCTGGTGTGTTTGATCTGCAGACCTTGAGTTCAGCAGTCCCACCATCAGGGTTCCTTGCAGCCCTTGACTCCCAGTTAACCAGTCATATCCTTTCAGTCTCTCTAGATGTGACTGGTCTGGACATTTCATACGCATGGAGTCATACATTGATGTGGCCCTTTGTGACTGACTTCCTGCAGGCAGCAGGTGTTCAAGCTTCACCCATGCTATGGCATACACACGTTGTCAGACAATGCCCCTTTGGATGGACATGCCACAGTGTGCCCATTCTTCAGTTGGGTGTTCGGGTTGGATCACTTGCTGACTCATGAATATAAACATTCAGAGACATGGGTTTATGTCCTCACACGGTTTTGTCAGCTGCAGGTGTTAGGGCCACCGAGTGGGTTCAGACCTTTAGCACAGGAGAACGAAACACCGCCCAGTCCTGCTCCATCCGCACAATTGTTCCTGTGCCTGAGCCCATTGTTGCCACCATGGTGTCCATCGGTTTCCTTGAGGGCCTACCTCTTTCGCTGCTCCTCTACTTTACTAAGCACAATGTCCTCCAGGGACTGGTCTCTCCTGACAACACGTCCAAAGTACGTAAGACTAAGTCCCACCATCCTTGCCTCTCAGGGGCGTTCTGGCTGTCCACAATATACAATTGCTCTTTTATGTAACGCTCTCTTATACACATGAGTGTCTATGAATTTGTTTCTCTAGTCCACCCAGACTAACACACTGTCCTCCTTCTGCAACAGACTTGCAGGCTCTTGTGGCAGTCCGGCAGGGTACTTTTCAGTAGTCTTCACCATCATTCAAATGCACTGATTCTTCAGTCTTCCTTATTCGGTGTCCACCTTGTGCATGCAGATGAGGCAACTGAAAAGACCATGGTTTGAGTCCTTAATCCCAAAGTAACAGACTTGCTTTTCAGTATTCTCCATCACCAGCCGTGGAGGAGCTCTGGAGAAGTTGCAGGGCTCTGTGAGGTACCCTCACCCGGGACTGAGCCCCCCGGAGGGCAGGCTCTGCTGGGAGAGCCACATTCCTTTCCGTGACCCTGCCCTTGGCGGGGCTGCCTGTTATTCAAGCACCAGGTGCAGAATCCTCTGTGAGATTTGTCTCCACTTAGTTCCAGGGATTCCCATTCCGGGTGGGGAAACTGAGGGAGGCTCACTACTGGTGTTGACAGTGCAGGTTTCAAACCCTTTTTAGTAGGCCTGAGGAGATTAAAACACAGACTCTCTGTGCAGAGTTTGTTGTTGGGGACCAAAAGCCAGCTCCTGAAAGTCACTTGATGGGGTCTTCATACAACACCTAGAAACAGACCAGATCAAGTGTCCCCACGCTCCCACCTGGGCTTCACTTCTGCTTTACTTCCTTCTGCACATGTTCCATGTTGGGCTGCTAACCCCAAGGTCAGCAGTTTGAAACCACCAGTGCTCCACAGGAGAAAGACGGGACTTGGTTCCTGTGAAGAATTTCTGTCCCGGAAACTCACAGGGGCAGTTGTGCCCCATCCTTTGGGTCGCTGTGAGTCGGCATCAACGTGATGGTAGAGGGTTTACCATGCCCACGTTAGACACCTCCTGCTGTGCAAGTACCGTGCTTTTTGCATGCCAGGGGATTGCACAGTTCACCAAAAGTATATTGCGTAGGTAGGATTCACAAAAAATATGGTAAATGCTTGCAATCAAACATCATTTCTCTCTTGCTCAGAGGATTTGCAGACCAGCTGCGATCAAGTCTGGCTCACGTCACCCTGCCTGTGCCCGAGGGGAACTGCTCTCCATCGGGTTATAGTGGCTTTTCCCTGTTATTGAGAATAAGCATATACAGTGCAGGGCATGCCCTGACTCAACAGTTTTACATGGACAACTCATGGCTGCTGGAGATAGAGAATCCGGCAGCCACTCTCACCGTCCTTTTCCTCATGGCTCTGCCCCATCAACACTTGCGGCTCCTTAGGGTGTTCCAGGCTGATTTTCCGGAAATAAATCACCAGGCCTTTCCTCTGAGGTGCCTCTGGGTCGACTTGAGCCTCCAACCTCCCAAGCTGGCAGCTGAGGTGTTAGCTGTTTACACCCCTTTCCGGGACTCCCCAGAAAGGATTGCAACCTGTGGAGTCTCAATCCCCAGCAGCTTGATTGTGGTGTAAAATATGGCAACAGAAGTCCTGGTACTGCTTGACATGGGCAGTTAGAGCTTCCATAACCCTCTGAGAGCAACGGCACACAAGACAGCTTCATCTCTCCTGGGATGGATTTCTGACCGCTCCAGAACATTCTGGTGTCAGAACAGCAGCCCAGAGGTCTAGAGAAAGAAGAGAAAAAGAACCCCTTTTTGTTATTCTTGGGAAGTTTCCTGGCCTCACAAGGTATTGTAGATCAAAACCCAAAGGCTGCAAAAATACCCTGACTCAATACAGGGAATCCAGGACGGATGAGCCTTATAGGACCAGTGGTATGAGTGGCAAAACAGGGAGGGTAAAGGGAGAATGGGTAGGAAGGAGGGAACCGATTACATGTAACTGTGTGTGACCTCCTCCCTGGGGGACAGACAACCGAAAAGTGGATGAAGGGAGACGTCGGACAGGGCAAGATATGACAAAA